GGATTTTTAAAAATTTTGTAAACTAAACGACTACAAAGCTTCCTCTCGAGAAAGCAAAAAGAATAAAAATGAAGATACCATTTGCTACAAACATTTTTATCTTCAATCATTTTTATTTGTAATTATTTGTAGCTTCACTTGTTTGTAAATAGAAATACTAGAAGCTTCAGTCACTTTAAGGGTATGTGGAATCAGCCAACTTCAATTAATACATGTATTCATATTCCCACCAGTTTTCTAAAAAAATATTTAATAAATCTTGACAAAATATAAAGAAAATAATATTTTATTTATTGAGGCATGGATCTCTAGTCCAATTAATACAAAAATTTGCTTTTAAATATTATTTTTCATTTAATAAAAAGTTTGATATTTTCTGAGAAAAAAAGACAATCAAATACAAATTAATATTGAAAAAAATGAATAAATTTATATTTTTCTATTCAAACTTTCATTTTTTTGACAATTTTCGAGAAAAAAAGACAATCGAATACAAATTGCCATTGAAAAAAATGAATGTTAACATAGAAAAATATAAATTTATTCATCTTTTTCAATATTAATTTGTATTTGATTGTCTTTTTTTCTCAAAAAATATCAAACTTTTTATTAAATGAAAAATAATATTTAAAAGCAAATTTTTGTATTAATTGGACTAGAGATCCATGCCTCAATAAATAAAATATTATTTTTCTTATATTTTGTCAAGATTTATTAAATATTTTTTTAGAAAACCGGTGGGAATATTAATACATGTATTAATTGAAGTTGGCTGATTCCACATACCCTTAACTAAAAATTCTTATAGCTTCACTGGTTTGTAAATAAAAAATGATTGTAGCTTTAGTTGTTTCTGAATAAAAATTCTTATAGCTTCAATTGCTTTTTGTATAGAAAATAATGACAGCTTTACTTGTTTGTAAATAAAAATACTTGTAGCTTCACTTGTTTATAAATAAAAAATGATTGTAGCTTCAGTTGTTTGTAAATGAAAACTCTTGCAGCTTCAGTTGTTTTTTACATAGAAAATAATTACAGCTTCACTCGTTTGTAAATAAAAAAAAATAATTGTTGCTTCAGTCTTTTCAAAATATACAAAACACTTGCAGATTCCTTTTCTTTGAAAAAATAAAATACCCCTCTATACTAACCTATTAGAATATAAAATTATTACTAACTTTATTTGTTTCTTTAATGTAAAAATTACAGAACGTAGTGAAGCTATAAAATTATAGCAATAAAAATAAAGATTTAAAAGTCAGGATAGTATACAAATAAAGCTATATGAACAAATACTGAAGAGATTAATTAAAGCTATATTCAAGGAGAGAAGGCATGAATTGAAGCTTTAGTGAAATAAAACAAAAGGCTTTAATTGAAGCTTTATTCAAATACAGAAGGCATTAACCCTTTAAGGGTTCATACCACTTTGTCATCTTCAAAAGAGCAAAAAAATTTTATTATGGATTTCGAAAGTAAAATTTTTCAAAAATGTGGTGTAAAATTTTTAGAAAAATCCCAGCACTCAAAATATATTTTTTTCAATGCTATTTAAGCGCGTACACTGCTATGTATGTATACAACACAAACTTTAAACGCGTTTTTCTCGGAAACTACTGGACCGATTCTCAAAATTTTTTTACGAAAATCTTCGTCACACGGGTGGGTATCGCTGGAACTAGAATTATTTAAGGGAAGACCCCACCTTAATTTTGACCCCTTTAAAATAAAATTATTAAACGCGGTAATATTTTTTTCCTGCATCTTTTTTAACCTGAAAACATATAAGATGGTTAAAAATATTTAATTTTAATTTTTGAAGAGGTTGGAATTTTTTTCTTTTGACCTATTGCATATTATTGCAAATCCATGCGAGAAGTTGTTTAGAATGGTAAAATATGCATGGAAAAAAATTTTCGTTAAAAAATATTAAAAACTGTAAGAGAAGATCAATTTTTAATATTCAAATCTTTAAATTTTGCCGAAATTTCGAAAGCCTTAAATCTTTAATTTTTTTACAAATTGTGTATATTTACGTAATTTTATGCTATTATTCAAAAAACATTGTGAAAATTAACATTTAGCTCATTTTCTTGGTAAAAACCATAAAAATCATAGTTCGAAGCTTTTATCTTAACACGAAAAAAAATTGCGGTCCCGGCAGAGATGCATATAAACTGTATAGAGACTTCCTCGGTTAACACGAAACCCGGTTAACACGAAACTCGAACTGTTTTTGCGGTCCTCATTTCGTTCTTAGCTCAGTTAACGCGTACAAATTGGTACCACTACACTAAGAGTTCTTTGTTCCAAATATTTTTTCACCCCTTAAAATATTTTTGATAATGTAATAATTCTATTAATCGTTTGATCAATTAGTATGAAAACGTATTTCCGTCAAATAATACAAGAAATAGTGTTTACATTGCTATGAGTAAAAGAAAACAATCGAATATCGACCTAAAAGCAAAATTATTAATTATGGTACTTTATGTTATTTATTATGAATGCCTCGTTAACACGAATTATTTTAACACGAACTGCTAATTTTTCGGTCCCTTCAAGTTCATGTTAACGAGGGTTTACTGTATACCGAAATAAAAGCAAAAAGCCATGATTTTTATAGTTTTTACCATAAAAATGAGCTAACCGTCAATTTTAACTATGTTTTTTCGACTCAGAGCATCAAATTGGACAAAAATAAAGGTTCAGGACTTCCGAAATTTCGGAAAAATTTAAAGATTTGAATATTAAAAATCGATCTTCTCTTACAGTTTTTAATATTTTTTAACGAAAATTTTTTTCCATGCATATTTTACCATTCTGAACAGCTTCTCGCATGGATTTGCAATAATATGCAATAGGTCAAAAGAAAAAAATTCTAACCTCTTTAAAAATTAAAATTAAATATTTTTGACAATCTTATATGTTTTCAGGTTAAAAATGATGCAAGAAAAGAAATATTACCTCGTTTAATAATTTTATTTTAAAGGGGTCAAAATTAAGGTGGCGTCTCCCCTTAAAAATATTAATTTTTACTATTTTTTTAAACCGAAAAACTGACAAAAAAACCTTAATTTTCGAAAAAAAAATTTTAATTGCTCCCATTTTGTTATTTTTGCATAAAAATTAAAAATTCTAGTTCGGGCGATAGGCACAGTCCTACTAAAGATAAATCAATTTGAATTTTGTGTTTTAGATTTTTCTAATCTGAGAAATCAATCTCGCAGCTGGCATCGGTATTTTTAGCAGGTCTAAAATTATTGTTAAATTTTAAATAAACAAATAATATTTTTTAAATAAAATAAGGTTTTTTATAAAGTTAAAGAGTGTATTTATTGAACTAAAAAAATGCAGATTAATATAATCCTTAGGAATCGTAAAAAAATTCTAAAAAATAGCTTCATTTTCAAGCGTGTAAAGTAGTATGAACCCTTAACGACCAAATGTGCTGATTTTTAACTTCTATTTCAAGCTCTTAATATTAGAAGAAAAAAAATTATTAAAAATTCTGCATATCTATACACGGAAAAAAATTTCCTATGTGAAAATTACAAGATTTCCTGTGCCATCTATGAACGGCGGTTGTAGTATCCACAAACGGCTGAGTTTGGGAAATACACAAACCAGAATAAGGGTGCAGTCCCATGCTGAGCAAAAAACAGAATGCAAAGCAGAATTTCGTAAGTGCAAGAGAGATAGTCAAATATCACTATCCTTTCCACTCTCACGAAATTCTGCTTTGCATTGTGTTTTCTGCTCAACATGGGACCGTACCCTGAGTCTTGTCACAAACTTCAGTTTATGATTCAACAGCTTAAGGCCTTTCTCCAATAGGATCCAAAAACTCTGCGTTTGTCTGCGAATGACTGCGTTGCGTTGATTTTAGCATCTGTTGCTATAGCAACCGACGCAGACACAGAATTTTAGGAACCTATTGGAGAAAGGAATTAAAGTCCAACGCACAATAGGTTCGCGAAAGTCGTTCGCGAACGAGACGCATGAGATAGACAAGGACACAAATATATCTCTGTCCTTTTCTAACTCATGCTTTGCGTTCGCGAACGACATTCGCGAATCTATTGTGCTTAGGCCTCAAGTCCAACGCACAATAGGTTTGCGAAAGTCGTTCGCGAACGAGACGCATGCGATAGACAAGGACACAAATATTGTTGGTAGTGCTGCATTCGATCGAGACGGTCCGAGAAACGAACGATTTTCTTTTTTTATCGTTTTACAAACTTATATGTCATATTGTTAATCCAGAATTCGATCGAGATTCAACTGAATATGCCCGACCAACCGAGACTTCTCGTTCGAATTATTTAAATTGAAAATTCTGCAATATTAATATTTAAATCAATTGTTTTTATAATGGATGATATTATTTTTTTTGTAATAATAATTTTATTTATAATATAAACATTTTATTATATTTTTATAATAGTTATAGAATTCTAAAAATATATATATATATATATATATATATATATATATATATATATAATATACATTATTTTATATACTTTGAATTTATTTCAATGGAAAATATTTTCAATATTAATTATTTTAAAAATGAAATTTATCAAACTTTATTGAAAACATAAAATTTAAAATAAAAGTTAAACTTTATTAGGATTAACATTTTATTATTAACTTTTATTATTAATTTTAAATTATTAACTTTTTCTTCTCCTTTTAGAAATGAAATTTAATCAAACTTTTTTTATTGCAGTTTATTAAATAACAAATTATACAAGTTATTTAATATAAATTATTCGTGGTTAAATAAATTTACAAAACTATAAAGATTAGGTCGATAATTTTAAAACAGAAAATTAGTTTAGAGAAGTCCAACTATTTAGACATAAAAGTTGACGTGCAATACTTTTTATCAATGAGTTTCTATGCTTTCTTGTTGCACTTTATTAAATAACAAATTATACAAGTTATTTAATATAAATTATTTATGGTTAAATAAATTTACAAAACTATAAACATTAGGTCGATAATTTAAAAACAGAAAACTGGTTCAGAGAAGTCCAACTGTATAGACATAAAAGTTGACGTGCAGTGCTTTTTCCCAATGAGTTTCTATGCTTTCTTATTGTGAGAGAAGCACGTGAAAATAACCTCTCAACTGGCACAGAAGTAGCTTGGATACTCAAAAAGTCTTTTGCCATCCGCGACAAATTTGGAAACTTGTGCTCATATTGTTGCCACCATTTTAGAACATTTTCATTTTTATCCGCTCGTTTTAAACTTAAATAATAATCGATTTCGTTTCGCCAATTTTCTTTAACAGCTTTACCGACAAGAGAAGTACTTAATTTCTGATCACTAGATGTGAACAGCGAAGATGGATTAATTTCATCGTCACTATCTAAATTTTCGATTAATTGACTTTTTTCCAATTCGTTATTTTCGATTCGATAATATCTGCTCCTATAGATTTCTTCCAATTTTTCTATTGCCCATTTCGCCATCTCCTTACCCCAAGGTGTTATATAAAAGGTTTCTTCTTTATGCCGTGGATCCAACATTAATATAGCACAATATATCCAATTTGTTTTTGAATAATGTTTCATTAATTTATTGTAAGCAGATTGAAGAGCTCTTTCAACACTTGTTTCAGCCCAACTTTTATTTTTCCTTAAATTCAGATCGTTAATAGATTTTTCCAATTTATCGATTAACATGTTAAATCCTACTATAACCAGTGGAATCGTAATGTACTTTTCTCCACATAAAATATTGGAAAGAGATTTAAAAAGTCGCAAATATTTCACTGACGTTCTCAAAAGAGACCAATCGCGGTCTGTTAATTGAAAAGATTGGAGATCTATGTTAGTCTCGCATAACAAAATTAAAGCCTTTTCTAGTTTCAAACCTTTGTCAATCATATCGCACGATGAATTCCAGCGAGTAGTACAATCAATACTCGGAGCTAACATTTCTCTTCCTACAGTTACGCAAGAACATTCCAATTTTTTACGCATTTTTTCAGAATATTTTAGTTTTAAAAATAAATTTCTTAATTTGACAAGTGGTGTTGAATCCGAGTGGGAAAAATCTGGAAAGTTTGTTTCACTTTCGATTTCAGAATTCGTAGTTTCAACAGTATGGTAGTTGTCACAGTCATCGACGTTATCATTTTCTTCAAAGTAAGAGTTGTTTGCGAGTTTCAACTGAGATAAAAAATCCTGTACACCTAAATTAATAATATTCGAGAAACACCTAAAATGCATATCTTCTGCTGAAAAATCTTTATCTATCGACATCATGAGCATTTCCAATTCGTGCATAAAAGTATTGTTTGAATTCGTATTATCCAGCGTTATGCCCTGTACTTTTTGTTCCAATCCATATTCAATCAAAAACTCCTTAAACAATTTAGCAACGTTCTTTCCAGTATGACACCCATCAGATGGTATTAGATCCAATGTTAGTGATTGAAGAACCCAGGGATCATTTATGTATTGTCCTTTATCCAAATAATTTATAATATAAATAATTTATCATAAAAGATAAATAAGATTAGAAAAGTCAATATACGAATAGAAAATTATAGTAGTTTTTTTATATACTATTTGGTAAAAAATGGGATTTTTATTTCAAAATATTTCTAAAGTTAAAAAATAAAATTAAATAATAAATAAAAGTTATAAAATTATTATTTTGTTAAAAGATATATAAAAGATTCAGAAACAAAAATAACTTTGACAAAATTATTAAATAATTGACTTATAAAATAAAAGTTTAAAAATATTTTAAAGTTTCAAGAAAATAAACAGTTTTTAAACCTTAAAAAAAATTTTTTTTTCAACATAGCCATACATTGTTTTATAAATAAAACAGTGATAATAGTGATATTTTCATTATCATTTTTTAAAAACAGAAAAACGTATAAAAACATTATTTTAGGGATTTCTACAATTTAAGGGGAGAAAAAAGTATTAAAACAGGGTGTCTATTAACCGGGAAATTTGGAAAACCGGTAAATAGCCTGAAATATAATTTTACCGGGAATAAGCCAGGAATTTTATGCCAAACCGGGAATTCTTTCACCAAATTAAAAAAAAGTTTTATTATTTTACTTTGTTTTTCAAAAAATACTTTTTATTTCAATTTTTATAGATATTTATACTGTTCTCTAAATTTAAATTAGTTAAAAATAATTAATTCGATAATAAAAAATTAGTCACTGATTCAAATATAGTATTTAAATAAATAAATTTTAAAAAAATTATCGAATTAATAGAAATTTCGTGAAATGCAACTGAAAATAATAAAATTTATTAAAGAATTTCATTAAAAACTTTTAACAAATCGAATTTTCAAAGTATTTTAATTTAATAATTGATAAATAATTGAATTTTATAAAGAGTCACATTCTAATGTATTCATGTTTCTTTGTGTGAAGATTAATAATTAAAACTTTTATTAGTTAATTTAAAAAAAAGATACATACTTAAATTTTTTTTGTTAAAATTGAATTTTTGCAAATTTTTTTTTTGAAAATTCTGAAAAATAAGATTTTTGAAATTTTTTAATTCTGTTTTTTTAGATAATTGAATTTTTATAAACAAATAATTGATAATTTTTGAAATAATTGCAATTTCTTTACATTCTATTAAAAATAATTAATATTCAATTATTTTTATAAATAGTAAAACTCATTACATAATTTCAATTATTTTTAATACAATTTTAATCGAATTTCTCGAAAAATGTAATTATTCTGAAAAATTTTATTAAAATTCATCGAAAAAATTTAATTATTTCTAGAAACTGAAAAAAAAATTTCCTTAAGAATTCAATTATTTACATAAATAGCAAAATTATTCAGATTTACTAAATTATTTTGAATATTATTTTTTAAAAATATTCTTCACAAGAATTCAATTATTTTTATAAATTGCCATAAAATTCTAAAAAACAATTCAATTATTTTCAAAAGTAATAAAATTCTTCGCAGAAATTCAATTATGTTTACAAAATTTTTTAAATTCTCTTCAAAATTTAAATTATCTTTATAAATAATTAAATTGTTCTCCACAATTCAATTATTTTCAAAAATTTTAATAAAATTCTACGCAAACATTTAATTATTTTCATAAATATGTAATAATATTCTTTGAAAGGATTCAATTAATTTAATTAAAATTATTAAAAAAAACATTATTTTCGAAAAATTTAAAGAAATTTAGAAGCCATTTGTAGATTTATTTATGTTCGAAATCCAATAAATTTAAATTTTATGAGAAAAAACCGGGAAAATTTATGATAAAGCCGGGAAAAAACCGGGAATTTTGTCGAACAAAAAGAGTAGACACCCTGTAAAATAAAAATCCCTACAGTGTTGTAAATTAACAATATACACTTAATGTTACCAGCAATTCCATAAAATGATTCTTGTGCAATCGAGGTCTAACCATCCACACTAAAGGAAAGTTTAGAATTGTTATTTTCTAACATTTCTTTTACATGGATTTGTTTCTCTACAAACGTCTTTTCTATTATCGATTTCATTTGTTCTCTCTTCGGCAATTTTGCATTTTTATTTAAATATGCGAAATATTCTTGGGTAATGGAATCATCGAAAAAATTAATTGGCAAATATTTTCTGACTACTAATTCCACAGTCATTTCATTTAGCTTTTCTTGATTAAATTTCTAAAATATATTTAAAGATTGTAAAATAATTATCATTGCATTATAAATTTTTACAGGTTGTTACTTTAAATTTAAATAGAATAAAATTACTTGACATAACGTGACTGGGTGATTTTTGGAGTCAGGATAAACTTTCATGTATTCGTCATTATGATGATTTTTAAGATGTCGCATTATTCCCGTAGTATTCCCATCAGAGATGCCATTAGGCGGAGGAATTTCATCCCCACTCTTGCGCCATTTTACATTGACTTAAATGTAAAATGGTGCAAGAGTGGGGATGAAATTCCTCCGCCCAATGGCATCTCTGATTCCCATCTTTCATTTTTAAAACTTGAACAATATTTTTAGTTGTTAAACACAGCTTAAATTTTGCATATTTAAATTTTTCCTCAGAATTATAATCGAAATCGTAAACTTCATAAAGAATTTTTCTTCTCTTCTGCTTTTCCTCGAATAAATTTTTAACTCCATTTGAAGAACTAATTAATTCGTTTGAAATATCCGTCAATGAACTGATACATAATAAAAGATGCAATAATATTTTAACCAAAGATAACCTTGCATAATTTAAATAATATATCTTTTGTGTTAATAATAATAATAATAATAATAATAATAGAATAGAAAATACTTTGATGCAGGTCTTTTTAATGATTCTCGTGATGTACTTGGATTTTCGTTTAAGATTCGATTTTCCATTTTCTTAGAAGTTTTTTGTGTTTCCGATCTTCTCGTTCGAAAATATTTATTTATCATACGAGAAAAGAGTAATTAAAACAAATGAAATAACGAGCAGTTACATTCATACACATGATTCGAATTCGATCGAGATTGCCAAGCAACCGAGAAATTATCGGATCTAATGCAGCACTAATTGAATTCATGTGAAAATTTTGTTATTCAATTAATTGAATTTTTCAGAAGAATTTTATTAATATTTGAATTATCCCAGAATTTTTCACAAAACAATTGTCAACTCATTTTATTCATATTTTACATAATAATTAAATTCTTTTGAAAAAAATAGATATAAGAAATATTGGATTTCAGCGAAGAATTTCGTTATTTATGAAAATAATTGAATTTTTAACAAAGATTTTCCAAAAACTTTTGTCAATAATAGATTTATTTTGAAGAATAAAAAAAAATTTTTGAAAGTAATTACGTTTAAAAATTTATTAAAAATAATTAAAATCCTCTGAAGCATTTTATAATTTTTAAAAATAATTGAATTTTTGCGAATGATTTTGAAAAAGAATTTTATAAATAATTGGATTTTTTTGAATGATTTTATAAAAATTTAAAAGAATAATTCAATTAGGATCGAATAAGCTAATTAAAATTATATAAAAAATAATTGGATTTTATTACTTATATATGAAAATAATTTATTTCTTCTAAATAAATGTTATCAAAATTTTAGAAAATATTTAATATCTTTAAAAAAAATTCTTTGAAAATTATTTTAAGCAATTGGTTTTTTTTCGAAAATATTTCTCGATAACACAATGCAACACATAACATTTGCACTAAGTTTTGACTTTAGTTTCTGAGAGTACTTATTAAAACTAGAAAATACTTATTTCAGTTTTGCTAGATTAGCTCGGATTTCAATTTTATCGACTTATGAATTTTTTTTAAATTTTAACATTTTTCGGTCTTTTTATACGGGTGGGTGGAAACGCTGGCTATTAAAAGTTTATTAAAAATATTTGCAATGGCCACATTTTGAAGAGCAATAATGTATCTTTAATTTGTTCAGAAAAAAGAAAACAGTATCGTTTAGTGTCACAAATTTAAAAGAAAGTATCTAAATAGTAGCTAATCGTAAAAAAAGTAGTAAAAAATAGGTTTTAGTAGAGAAGTGCGAAGCCTGTCTTTCAGAAATCACTTGGCCAATATAAGAATAACTTTATTAAAAATAATAAATGGTTTTTGATCATAAAATATTTTGTTGTAATAAATTTTACGAGGCCTTATATAATATTTTGTTCAGAATAACTAACTTTTATGTTGTTTATTAAGTTAATGTTATAGCAATGATGGCTATGGCGGCTTATAATGTTATTTTCGATGAGGAGGAGGATGAGGATGACCTCGTTAATCTATGTCTTCGAAATTTGAAAGAGAAAGAAGAACATCCAAAAATTGAAGATTTTTTTGAAGAAACGGTCCCAAGATATTCACTTTCAGGTATAAATAATATAACAAGACTTATTTTCATTAAAAGAAGTTTACATATTACTGTATGTCACTTAGAACTCATTTTTAATTAAAAAAATTAAAAATTACATTCAAATATCTTTAATATCTCCCGGTG